AAAAAAAAAAAAAAAAAAAAAAAAAAAAAAAAAAAAAAAAGATATTGCATACAAAGTGTTTAAGAGAGCACCTGGCATGTAAGTGCCCAATAATTGTTAACAATGATTATTATTTAAATCAGCACCCATGGTGCCTAGAGGCATTGTGGGTGCTCACTATAAGTCTGTTGAATAAGAAGAGAGTTTGGACTCTCCTTTCCGCTCTGCCCAAGACAGAAGGCTCATTCTTCATGACTTTAGTACCTCTCTGTCTTCTGTCCTTATTCGTCTCAGCCACGCCTCCTTCTCTGATGACAACCTGAGTTCTGAAGGCCCCTCACCATTTTCAGTCAGTTCTCACTGAAGCATCTCCCACCGTGGGGGCCTGAGACAGACGGCTTTATTCCATACTCCAAACACAGCCTCACCTCACTCCATTTCCATTTGGCTCCAGCTGGTAGACACCCAGTACACAGCTCCAAGGCTTAATTGCTTTCTGCTTGTATGTTGCCAAACACTAAAACCTTGTTGTTGGAGTTAAGTGTTTTGGGAAACGGGCTGTACTGTTTCCCCAACCGAGGCTTTGAAAAGTTGGAACTGCTGAATGAGCCGCCAGATCCAGCCTTGGTCTCCGATTGGCGCACCTGTACTTGCCAGGGAGGACGTATCGAAACACTCACTGTGAGCTCTGTGAATGGACTTGGAAGATGCCCTGCTCCTGCAGTGACATGACTGGCACATAGTAGGCTCTCAATTGTTACCATAATATAAACATATTATGAATTATTCAAGACGCTAACAGTATAGTAGCAGCAAACACTTAAATCAGGGTCACACTGTGCGCGTGTTTTAAGCTGTCTGTGCACTAACTCAATGGTTCGCAAACTCTGCTGCACGTTAGAATCACCTGGGTAATTTTTAAAAGCCCTGATGCTCAGGCCATACCTTGCACGAGTGAAATCAGAATCTCTGGGCAGCAAGAGTTTTAAAAACTCTCCAGGTAATTCAAATGTGCAGTCAAGGGTGAGAATCAGTGAACGAACTCATTAAATCCTCACAGCAAGTTTATGAAGCGAGTACTGCTACTACCCACACTGTCTTATTGAGGACACTGAAGCACAACAGACAGGGTAAGTGACTTGCCCGAGGTCACACAGCTGACAAGTGTCAGAGTCAGGTTTGGAACCAGGCTATCTGGTCCCAGAGTCCATGCTTTTAATCCTACAACAATACAACTACAACACTACACGACATCCTACAGCAGAAGCCTGAGTTTCTCCCCCTTATCCTCTGTCCCCATCCCACTGCCCGGGGATCTCATCCTCTCCTGATTTCTCCTGGGTGTTTCCAAAGGCTCCTCCTTGGTCTTCTCACCTTCAGTCTCAAGCCCTCTACTCCAATAGGATCATAATGCCTGCCACATGTGTAATTCTGAGTTTCCTATGGGTTACATTAAAAAAGTAAAACAAAAAATGGATAAACAAGGTCCTACAGTATAGCACAGGGAACTATATCAAATCTCCTGAGATAAACCATAATGGAAAAGAATATTTTAAAAAAGATTGTAGGACTTCCCTGGTGGTCCAGTGGGTAAGACTCCGCGCTCCCAATGCAGGGGACCCAGGCTCGATTCCTGGTCAGAGAACTAGATCCCACATGCATGCCGCTACTAAGAGTTTGCATGCCGCAACTAAAGATCTCACATGCAGCAATTAAAAAGATCCTGCATGCCGCAACGAAGATCTTGTGTGTTGCAACTAAGACTGGCGCAGCCTAGATAAATATTTTTTTTTAATGTATTCAATATATATAACTGAGTCACGTTGCTGTATGGCAGAGACTAGCACATTGTAAATCAACTTTACTTCAATAAAAAAAGAAAAAGTAAAACGAAAGATGAAGTTAATCTTAATATTTTATTTAACCTAATATATCCCAGATATTATCCTTCTGACAGGTAATCAACATTAAAAAATATTAATGAGATATTCTACATTTCTTTTTTCATACTAAATGTTCAAAGTCCTGAGTATATTTTCAGTTATAGCACAGCTCAATTTGCACCAGCCTCATATCATGTGCTCAGTACCCACAAGCAAGTAATGGCTACCATATTGGACAAGGCAGCTAAGGGCGTAGAGCTTAAAAGTGCTCATCTCAAGAAAAAAGTAACTGTGTGAGGTGATGATGGATGACATCTAGACTTACTGTGGTATATCAAATCATTACGTTGTATACGTAAAACTAATACAACGTTATATGTCAACTGTATCTCAAAAGACAATTAAAAATAGAAAAAAAGAAGCGGTATCGTAGTTTACTGGAAGGCTGAGGATGAGAAACGATGATGCCTTGATGAACCCTTTCATACTGTGGAACTCTCCTCTCCTCTTGGGTTTCCTGGCTTGACTGACACCAGACCCATAGAGCCATTCTCAGTACAGACTGAGTGAAGGTTCCAGGGTCAAGCCACATCTAAATTACTAGTAATGCTTAAAATAGACTTTAGTTAAGATAACTCTAAGTTCCGATATTTTCTTCTCCCTAATGGATCATCTAGTGCACGGCCACCCCTTCCAGCCCCTCACCCCACACTTTGGAGACCACGGAGCTGGGGACTTCACTTATCCAGCATCTCCTGTCACATACGGGAGGGTTGGCTCTGACCACAACCCCTTCCTTACGTGTATTTATGCTCTTTTAAAGCTAAATTGGCACTTTCACATCTGCTGCAAAGCTGAGTGATAAAACATCTGTGTTCCTAGTCTGCCCTTTGTGTCTTGATTGGTGCCGTGGGGTTTAACTCAGGATTTTCCCTTAGCTTTACCTGCACGACGTATCTGATGTTAGTCTCTCCCACTACTGTCCCACCAGCCCTGTGAGAGAAAGAGTCCCTCTTCAGGGCTGTCTAGAATTTGGCCACACTCATACACGGACCCCTTTTCTCCTTTTTAATTAGGAATCCTTTTGTTGCCGGTGAAGGAGACCAAACTGAATGTGGCGGAAGCAGGCTTTATCCCCATGACTCAAAAGTTCAAAGGTCTGGCTAGATCCAGGTGCTCCCATGGTGTAACTAAGATTTGGTATCTCTCTCACTGCATTCCTCAGCTTTATCTTCCTCTCTTTATTGGCAGTGTCCGTGTAGTGGCTTCCACAAGCTGTGGCTTATTTTGTCCTTATTGTCAATAATTCCAGCAGAAAGCCCCTTTTTCTCACCAGTTCCAACACAAGTTCAGGGGGTGACTTTTATTGGATTACTTTACATGTCCATCCCTCTGTTCCATTCCGGCCCATGGTCCAAATCTGTCCTGTAGTCTACTTTAGTGTGACCTCCAACCTCAGAAGGTTTTTACATTTTTAAAGGGCCACGTACATAAGAATATGCAACAGATATGTACTATCTGCTCCTTTACAGAAAAAGCTTCTCCAGGGTGCATGGGGTTTTAGAAACTCTCATGATAACCACTCAGGTGGCTCAGTCAGAGCAGCGGAACAGAGGACCACCTGGCATGGGCTTGGCATATAGTAGGTGCTCAATTATGATTCTGATGAAAAGGCTCACAGCAAAATATTTCTCCCTGAGAAATATTTTTTGAGCTTGGGAGCTGGGAGGTGATGTATTGCCTCCTTCTGGTCCCTAATCTATTTTAGTGGTAAAAGAGCTTCCTTTGTTTGAATAAATACTCCTTGCCCAAGCTGTTAACACTTTGCTTTCTTCTTGGCAGGTTTTATTTTGCTGGAGAGCATGATGGAAGCATAATACTAACATATACCACTAGATGGAGCTACAGCTCTTGAGCAATAGGCTTTCCCAGAAAGTGGCAAGCAGGAGGGTGGAGTAAGTCTTGTAATTCCAGCATCTCCCCTGCCCAAGACAGACAGACACGTTCTCCACTTGGCTCTGCCATTTGCTGCCCATGTGACTGTTGGCAAATGACTGTAAGTGTCGGCATCCTTACTTGTAAAATGGGGATTATAACAATGCCCACAACAGAGGGATGCTGTGATCATCAAGTAAGATGCAAACCGTAGAAGGCAGAGTAAATGTAAGTTAATGAGACGCCAGGAGGCCCCATCATTAGAGCTATTCCTGGGACATGATTCCAAAAGCCAGATAACTTTCATGACGTTCTTGTCGCATACGGTCAGGGCTGGGGCGTTAGAGGGCAGCAGCAGAAGGGAGGGAATTCAGAGTCAGCAGGACATGAGTACAGAATACCTTTTGGAGGCTCCATTTCGTCATCTGTAAAGCAGGTGAGCCCTGCCTTGCAAGACCACGAAGATGAAATAACACATGGCAAGCATTCTGCACAGCGTCTGGAGCAAAGCAGTCCCTCGGTCAATGCTAGGTTGTGAGTGGGCTGCTTGAAGCTTTTTGTGACCCTCAAGGGTCCTCAAGACCCACCCTCTCCTCTCCTCTTCTAGCCTCTCCACCCACTTCTTGCTTTAACAATCATGGCCCATAGGATGTTGGTGTCATGTTTCTACCCCTAGTGCTACCCTGTCTCCTGAGTTTTAAGTCCCCCAACTCGACTGTCCCACAAGCATCTCCCACTCAATATGCTCAAAACAGAACTCCTTACCTTCTCGTTCTGAACCTTCTTTTCTTCCTCTCCTCCTGGTACATTAAAGGCATCATCCTCCACCCAGTGCTCTGAGCTGAAAAACCGGACATGATTCCTGACATTCCTGTCTTCTGTCCACTTGTACCACGCCACACCAACTTCTGCTGATTCCACCGTTTAAACACCCTTCTAATATCTCCCCCCAACCACTGCCACCCACGGTCGCTGCCGTAGCCTTATCTCAGTGCCCTTCTCCCTGCCTCGTCCTCACACAGGCGTCTTTTTTTTTCTGAATGCAAATCTGATTATTCCCCTGCTGAAAATCCTTCCATGGTGCCCCATAGCCTAGAAGGCATCTAAAAATCTGGCTTCCACCTCCCTCCCCAGACTCCCTCTCTTCCCAACCCCTGCTCTGCGCTACCAACCTGACCTTACAGTCCAACCAGACGCGTGTTATTCTGGCTCCTCAGATGACATTAAGCTTCTTTTTGCCTCTAGGCCTTTGCCCTCCTCCTTTCTTCTCTGCTCCCCCTCACCCCAATTCTTACTGAATACAGAGAAGTTTAGGATCTCTTAACTTTGCAGACTCCTGACAGACTGCATCTCACCTCTATACCCTAATGGCTGTCACAGAGTCACACTAAACAAAGGGTACCAGTGTGGATGTCATGCAGTCCCTCTGCCCTCCCCATCAGCCTTTGTTGACTCCATGTAAACTGTCTGTCTCCATGTAAACTCTCGAGATCAGGAGCCTTGTCTGTTTTGGTCACTGCTCTGCCCTCAGAACCCAGAACCTGGTTGATGCATGTTGCGCTCTTGATAAATATTCATTGAATGAATGAGTAAATAACTGAATAGGTGAACGGATGAGTGAGATGTTTCTTAGACAGAAGAATGGTTCCAGTTCAACTCTCTTCCTTTCCACCCCTTCTGGATCATGGAGAGATGCTGGGCTCCAGCCTATATGAGTGTCCTGATAATCGGGGCATAACCGCAAATCAAGTCCAGTTGTTTCACTGGTAATTCAGCTTGGCCATCAGTGACAGAGTTAAAATGACTACAGGTCCTATAGCTTAGTGAGGATGTAGGGAGCAGAAGATCAAGATGAGAAAAGAGGTTAAATGGCAATGAGCCTACACACATTCGGCGATGACAGGAAGCTAAGCCTCCTTGTACAATCAAAACCAGCACAAGATATTACACGGACTCTTAAGAACGAGATTTTCTGGCACACTATTTGCCTTGTTGGGAAATGCCCCATCCATCCACCCATCCACCCACCCACCCACCTCTATCCAGGACAGTATATACAAAGCTGAGAAATACACTCTAGCTCCAATGGTGTGAAATGGGGATAACATCAGTACCTACTTAACCAAGTATTTGTGAGATTTAAATGATATTATTAGGCAATAATATCACCCAGCGCTGGGCCTGTTGTATAACAAAAACTCCATAAATGATAACTGTATGTTATTATCAGGATCTGAACACCACGCCCAAATTCCACAGCTCCAACTTTTTCCCAGCTGAACATCAAACATTCAACTTAATTTTATTATCTAGAATTTGAGAAGGAGAAATAGAGTGAAGGATTCTGGAGAGGGAGCAGGTAGAGTCAGGCTAGGCCAGTGAGGGACGGAGGCTGGGAGACTGAGGCTGGGGTGCGAGGCAGGAGGGAGTTCCCACCTGGGAGGAGCTCCCTCTAGAATGCTGGCAGGGTCATCTGGTCTCCAGATGACCCTACTAGGTCATAACGAGTATCCATGAGAGTAGGCAGGAAACAGGAACACAGTGTAGACAGCCCTCCTCCACTGGGATCGCTGGTCAACCCAGGCCCACTACGTCTGGGCACTGTGGGGCCGGATGGGGACGTTGATTCGGTCCTGCAGCCAGCTGATATAATCCTCTTGAGGCATATGGATGATGTGTTCTCGCACAAACTGAGGGGCAGACACAGTGACAGCCTCAGATTTGGTCTGAAAGCTTGACTCCATGCCCCCTCCCTCCCCAACAAGATCCTGGAAGATTTGTGATTGAGCCTGTGGCCCCAGGATACTTCCAACCCTTCAGGCATTCAGAATGCTTGGAGCATCACGCTGGGGATGGTCCTCTCAAGAAAAGGGTCTCTTTGCAGCTTCCCGGTTCAGCAGGCTAATGTTAAGTCCCTCATTGTCACCACTGACCCCAAGAAATTTGGGGAGAGCAGGAAAACCCAGTTGTCTGCATCTTTCTTTCTTTTCTCCTCCTGAATATCTTTTAAAAAAGTCATTTGACCCTAAACTTTTTTGGGTTCATAGGCCCCCTTCGAGAATTGAGGACAACTATGGGCTTGCTTCCAGGAAAGGGTTAAGACACAAAACATAGAGCTTCATGTAGATTCCAGGTTGAGAGACTCCCACATCCAGGTTAACAGAAGTTCTGTGATGTTCTCACTGGGAGAAGAGCATGCTAACTTTTATTAGCTAGGGCCACGAACTCAGCTCAGCACAAGGGGAGCATCCAGGCCCCCTCCCCTCTTACCCACTCAGTGATTGCCTTTTCCACGGCCTCCACAATTGGCAGGGGGAATGCAGACCCCATAATTGGACAGATGCCCTAGACTTAGTTTTGGAGTAGCCTGCCAGAGCCTCTCCCGAAAGAGCTTCCCAGGATGTGGGAAGTAGAGTCTGGGCGGATGAACTTGCCCACAGAGTCATCCTCCCTCCCCCACTCCTGACCTTGCACCCATATACACAGCCCAGGTCAGCCTGTGGAAGGGCCAACCTCTCATGAAAACACCGAGAGGACTGAGAATATTACCACTTGAGTCACTTCTTCACCTTGAGGCACTGAAAGCCCTATTAAAATGGACACGTGCCATCAGATAAAACTTAGGAAGTGACTCCACTGACACCTGTTAATACCTTAGTGTGGGCCATCCCCGTCCCCCATCTGCTGACCCCTTTTGATGCCCTAAGGGAACTAGGAACTTCTAGGGTGGGTAGGGAAGGTAAGCCACTACTGCAAACCCTTCAGTGGCTCCTCAGCACCCTCCAGATAAAGACCTAAACCCTTAACTTGACCATCAGAGATCTGCACAGACTGACCTCTTCAGTCCCCTTGGAACTGTGCATCTTCCTGTTCTCTTCCTCCCAAACCCACTGACTGCCGCTGAACAGGTCAAGTTTTGTCCTGTTTTGGGGCCTTTGCACCAGCTGTTCCCTCTTCCAGGCCTGCTCTTCCCCTTCTCTTCACGGCGCTGCCTTTACATTGTTCAGATCTCAGCTTTAAAGTCATCTTCCCCAGTGGCTCTAGTTACGATGAGCCTCCTCTACATTTACCTTACATCAGGGCTCCTCAAACTTTATTGTCCATACAAGTCACCCGGCATCTCATTTAAATGTAGATCCTGAGCTGATGACATACGCTTTGGAGCCTGAGATTCTGCATTCCTAATGAGTACCCACGTGAGGTCCATGGGCCACAATTTTAAGTTGCCAGATTTAGAGCGCCCCTTTTCATGATCGCCAGTTATTGTATTCACATGTCCATTTATTTATGTCTCCCCAAAACCTCCAAGTTTCCAGGGGCACCGTTTACACAGAATATAACGTCCCCTGGAGTTGAACAACCAAGGTCACGTGACAACACCTCTCCTATCAGATGATGAGTTCCATGAAGGCCTTTATGTCTTTTTAAAACTTTAAAAACTTAAACAGTGACTGGATGTTGAGAGAGGAATAAATGAGTGTGCCGGAGGCACTGTGAGGGGGAAGGAAGGGGTCAGTACCTCGACAGCCACCGCGATGTCCGGAGAGCACAGCTCCCAGACCCTCATGTCCTGCAGCACCTTCAAGAGAGCATGCGGCCTGATCCTCAGGTCCAGATTTTCCCCAAACTTCTGCAGTTTCGCCAGGATCTTTTTGGCAGGGCGGAAATTCTTCAGATCCTCAGGGAGTTTGGACAGCAGGTCAAAGTACCTTCAGTTCCAAGAGGAGAGGGTCAGTTAGGAAACTGCTGGGAGATGGGTCTGGGCACCACAGGGACCCCATCTCCACTATCTCTATCACTCATGTGGTGTCTCCAAGGCAGCATCCGTCTTTATCTGGGGGACTTTCCTCCCCCCCCCGCTCAATGTAAAGTGCCCACAGATCAGGCAAGTCTTTACTTTTATGGATAGTAAAAGCTGGACCATGATTTGCATCGCATTAAAAAAATTAAGGGCATGCTTTAAAGTGATGCATTTATGATTTCTCTACCAAGCAGACAATGTGAAAAGTTAGAAGAAAGGAAGAACGCTGGTATTCTGAAGCTTCTCTTTTTTTTTGAAGGTTTTATTTATTTATTTTTTTTAACCTCTTTATTGGAGTATAATTGCTTTACAATGGTGTGTCAGTTTCTGCTTTATAACAAAGTGAATCAGATATACATATACATATATCCCCATATCTCCTCCCTCTTGCGTCTCCCTCCCACTCTCCCTATCCCACCCCTCTAGGTGGTCACAAAGCACCGAGCTGATCTGCCTGTGCTATGCGGCTGTGAAGCTTCTCTTTTGAGAGTTAATCAAGCCAGGGAGGACACAGACACATCTGTGGGATACCTTCCAGGATGCAAGAGGCTCTCACACACAAGGTGCTGCTGCTGCTGCGGGGGTGTGTGTGTGTGTGTGTGTGTGTGTGTGTGTGTGTGTGTGTGTGTGTATTTTCCATGTCCCTGATAACGAGTAAGCAGGAGTCACAGCTTCGTGTATTCCAAGAATCTCTATTAATATGATGACAGCGTGTGAAGGTAGTCTGGGAATCCATCCTTGAGATGGTGGGAACGAGGTAGGTTCTAACCTGGGGGTTCAGGTGCGGGTGATGGCAGCAGTGGTACCTCATGAAAAAAAAGGTTTCTTTCCCTGATCGCAGAAAAAGTTGAAGAACTTGATCCTCCATCATACATTCCGGCTGCCCATATTGCTTTCTATCTGTGATATATGTTTAGATATTTATTCATATCTCTTTGTAAGCTCCCGCTCTGCATTATTAACATTTTCTGAAGGGATTCTGGGTACGTTTTTAGGCTTTCCCATCTTACTCGTAGATCTTGATTTACTCAGCCTGACAGGATGGAGCTTTGGGAAATCAGACTCCACTTTTTTATTGCTGCTAAGCATAGAGACAGGTCAGATAGAGGTTTAAACCCTAACATCTCCTCGTTTGTAAAGTGCGGGGTTAATATGTACCCTTCGGGAGTTTTGTGGGGAATAAAATAGATAATTTATGAAAATTGCTTAGGAGCCTGTCTGCCATCCAGTAACCACTCAGTTCCCACTGCTTTCTGTTGTACTTACTATCACCCCTGCGCTGGCGCACAGGGGTCCTGGGATATGCCTGTCTGGCTTTGTATCTTTAAGAGTTAAATTATTTGGAGAAATATAGTTCTCCCCCCATAGACCTCAGAATCTGTAGAATTTTCAGATTGGTTTGCCTCTTCTACCTCTCTTATAGGAGATACCTTGGATAGGATTTGCAAGCTGAATCAAACAAGGTAAATATGGAGAACACAGCTGGGTAGATTATCTGCAGTTCAGGAACTGAGGGGTTCTTGCCTGGTTGTACTCTGGATATAGCCTGGTTTGGGGGGGGGTGGTACTGGTGGCCAAGGACAGTTCTGGAGTGATGCCTCTCTGTGTCTTGAAGGATAATGGGATCAAATGTAATTTTGTAACACCACTGCCCCCTTCACCCACTTCAGGGACTGTCTTATCTGGCTCTCAGGATCTTTACCAGTGGTGTGCAATTTCATCTGCATCTCCTTTTACCATGGAGATGTGGTGTCTCATTTTTGCTACATCCTTTTGGAAATTTGAGACAAGGTCCAAAGAACGGAACTTCTGGAGACCTCTTTCTTCTTGGCGCCTGCATCACAGGTTGCATGAGAAAGAGGAAGAAGAATCAGATACTCTTCTCCTTTAACCATCCTAGCTGCCCTTCGAGATCTGAGTTAAACACCTCTTCCTTCTTGCCATCCTTCTTAACCCTCTCAGCCACTCTGATATACAAGCTGGCTTTGGGCACAAGAGCATACAGCTCTTTCCGAGGTCCTGAAATGCTCAAGTCTCGCTAAATCCAGTCACTTTTTAATCAGCCCTCATTCTCTCCCTACTTTTGATTGTATTTACTCGGCTCTCTCGTCTGTAAAATGAAGGATAATAACGATTCCTAGATCCCAGTGGTGAGGAGGAAATGGCAACGTGTGTACAGTGCTGTGCTTGGTGCCAGACACACAGTAGGTGTTTAACTCATGTTGGTTCCTCTCTTCCCCATTCCCTTTATCATTTGGTGTATATGTCCTATCTCTCCACAGAGACTATATTACAAATATAACCACATCCTCACCTATATATTATGAATTTCAATGGCTTTCCATTGACTCAGAGTAAAGTCCTCTGAGTGACTTACCCTCCAAGGCGCTGGATTATTCAGCCCCTACGACATCGTCCAGCTTTATCTCTATCCTTTCCATCCCTTTCCTCCCAGCATTTTACGGTTTGGCTCATGAACAGGCTCTGAGATAAAGTTCAGCCTCCACAGCTGGGTTAGGAAGGCCTTTTATGATCTGGCCTCTGTCTGCCTCTCTGCTTACCTTGTAAACAACCTAAGCCCCAGCACACCCGACTACTGGCAGTTTATGGCCCACTGTGCCCCTTCTTGCCTCTGGGACTTTGCTGTTGCTTTTCCCCGGAACTCTCTTCCCTCCTACTGTTCCTGTGTGACGGTTTAGGTTTGAATTCCACCTTTACTATTAATACTTAACCACTGCGTGGCCGTCGACAAGAGACATCTTTGAGCCCACTTTTCTCATCTGTAAAATGGGTCTAATAATAGCACAGGACCGTTGTGAGGCCCGAGTAATAAAAACAAAGCTCTTACACCCATGTCTGGTACATAGGAAGTGTCCTGGAAATATCACCTGTTTTTATTAAGCTGAAAATATTGTTTCCTCCAGGAAGACCTTTCTGATTTCCCTTGGACCTTTCTGTGTTCCCTTAGCCCCCTCCTTATTCCCATGCTGGCCCTCATCACCCTGTGTGGTAATCGCCTCTTTATTTGTCTGTCTCCCTCACTAGACTGGGAGCTCCCAGAAGGAAGGGGCAAGTCAACTTTGGACCTGTGGCCCAGAGCAGCTGGTCCCTCCACGCTGAGAGGATGAGAGGGCAAAGGGTCATCATGAAACCTTCGCTGAATGGATGAGTTCATTGGAGTAAAAATAGTCACCGTAGTCAAGGGGTCAGGTGGGAAGGGAGGCAATGACCGGCTTGTTAGAATAGAAAAGAAGAGCTTCTAATTGTCTCCTGCTGCTTGGAAAGTCAAGTTCCAAGTCTCAGTCATGACATTTATGGCTGTGCATGATGCAGAGCTCACCTACTACTTCTCCCTCCTCTTCAAATGTTCTACATCCCTTCCTACCTTGGGAGTTTTATGTACTTTTCCTGCTGCCTGGAATGTCTTTCCACCTTCTCACCATATCACCAGCTCCTCTCCATGTGTCAGGGCTCAGCCTTAACATCATCTCCTTAGAGAGGTCTTCCTGGATTATCCAACCTGCATTAGGAGGACCCCATGGTTTCTCTCTCTCTCCGAGAACCCTGTTCTCTTACAGTATAGCAATGATCATAATTTGTACCTATAAATTTATCAATTCAGTTATTTTGTCTCCGCCCATGTTTTCCAGGAGACTACAGGCTCCCTGAGGGCAGGGAACAGGTCCTTCTTGTTCCCTGTTATAACCTCAACTCCTAGCATCTGGTGGGTACAGAGTAAGTGCCAGATGAATGTCCTTTGAGTGAATGGATATATGTGTGCCCTTACTTCATGAGGATTTCCATCTTGTCCTGCAGACAGAGGCCAGCCTCCTGGGCCACACTGTTAAACTTGGCCCTCATGGCGTTACACACCCCACCCTTGCAGTGGATGATGTCACGGTTGGTGCGGCTGTGGACACAGATGAGAAGGGCTTGGGGGATGGAGCCCAAGGGACAGGCCCACGGGGCTGGCCTCCCCGGGCCCCAAGGTGCTCTGCAATAACACCCACCCAGGTTCTCCACCCTCACTGGAGCCTCCTTCAGCACTCCCCTGGAGGTAGGAAAGATAGACCTTCCCAAAAACATCAGGCTGGTGGGTCAGGCCTTATTAAACGAGCCCACAGAGAGACATCTGGTCTCTTCAGCCCAGCAAGTGTTAAGGACGGTGTGATGGAACTGAGAGATTCAGGTTCAAACTCCCGTACCACCACTTTTTAGCCGTGTGGCCTCTGGCGAGACATTTCACCTGGCCAGATTTCAGTCTGTTCCTCTGTAGAATGGGACACCACCGCTGGCTCATAGGATTGCTTTTGAAGAATAAGCAAGATAATGAATACAGAATGCTTTGCCCAGCGCCAAGCATGAAGGAAGAACTTGCTGCTGTTGTCTGTCTGGTTGCTCAGCATCCTGGCCGTGAGCCCCTTGCCCTGGGAGTCCTTTGTCCTTCAGGTGTGTCTATGGCTTCAGGGAGTCTGGTGTGCACCGGGTTATTTCTACACCCCTGGGAAGGTGGAGAGTTGCCACAGTCCCTCTTACCTGGCATCGCCCACTGCGCAGCTGGCCTACCTTTTAGACTTCTTCTGGAGCACCTGGGAGTGGCTGTCTCCACTTGTACTGCTGGATCTGTCACTGAAACACAAAGGTTGGTTTCAAGTTGCCTGGAGCCTTATATTTCCAGAAAGGGTGACTTTAGGGCCCCCATGACACCTGCTGGCCACCAGGATTCAGGTGAGGGCGGTGGTTCTAATCGAGGCATCAGAAATAGAACACGATGTGCATTTCCCCCGCGTCTTGGCCTTTACTCCTACCGGGTGCACTGCCTGGACAGTCCTCGTTTCTTCTCTACCTGCTCAGACCCCGCCCTGTCTCACGGCCTAGAGCAAGCTCTGCCTGCTCTGACGCTCCAAGTCCAGCTGCGGCCTCTTGCCTCTGCATATTGTTGGGAGGACATACTGTCTGGATCCCAGCTTCATCTGGAGGAGATCGGTCTCTCTCTCCATCTGGAGGACAGGCTCATTTCGGACCCTCCCACCATCCTCCTCTCTGCACTTGTCAGCACTTACCCTGGGGCTGAGTGCAGACCTGCTGAGGCGGGGAGTGGGGTGGGGGTGGGGGTGAATCCCTTAAGCAGCTGCCCCCTCCTGTGACTCCGCCTGGCTAGGGTCCCTAGATGGGGGTGAAGGTCTTTGCCCGCGCCCATCCCCCATACATTCTTCCAGGTCCTCCTTCAGTGACCTGGGCCTGCAGCATCTTCTCTCACACGCTGCCTCCCTTTGTTTCTCTAAACATTTGAGAAACTGACTTGACTGCTTTATCTGTGTGACTCTAGAGGGTAAGACTGCTTTTCTTATCCCTATGATGTGTGGCTAACCCTTCCCTTCCAGCCCTGTGGCAGGCGGGGCTTCTTCAGGCCATTTCCCAGACCACCCCCCATAGGAAAGGGCCCGGCCTTTGCTGCTTTTCCCAGAGGCTCATTGGACTAGACCTAGAGACCTTAGTTCTGGCAGGTGATGGAGCAAGCCCTATCCCACCTTGCTGGGAAGCACAGCCCTAGTAGTAATACCCAGAAGGCCATGTGTTTGGATTCCACCCAGCTGCCCCACCCTCTGCTGCTGAATTGTCTGGGGGAGCAGGCTGGCTTTGACCTTCCTCCTGTAGACGGCTCTCTTCTAGGGCTCATAGTGTGACTTGGCGGGGAGGCAGGAGAGGAAGGAAGCAGTGTTATTAGCTGTGATAAACAAACAAGCAAACAACAACAAAAGACCCTTCTGCCTGTCTCAGTCTCCCCTCTCCTTGGCCCTCCTTGAGTTTCAGCCATACTGGTCTTTGCTCAGTGCCTCTAAGCTTCCTCCTGCCTCAGACCCTTTGCACATGCTATTCCCTCTGCTCAGAACACTATTCCTACTATTCCTTCTAGGGCAGGGACCGTAGGCTCTACAGGGGGAAGGGCATCGGAATCACCTGGAGAGATGGCTCAGAATGAGAATGCAGATCCCAGATCCCAGCCTTCCCAGACACAGGCTAGCTAATTCTTCTTTTTTCCTTCAGGTCTCAGCTTAAATGTCAAACTCAGCCTTGGTTAGAACCCTGGTGCTCAACGTTCACCAAATCCTCCATAATCCTCCTTCAGAATGCTTTCCACAGTCATGATTATACAGCTACCTCTGTGGTGTTATTTGATAAATGCATGACTCTCCCATTAGAACAGCAGTTCTCAACCATGGGCAGGATGCAAGGGGTCCATGAACGCAGATGGAAAAAAACAGCTTTTACCTCTTCACCCAGCCTTTCACAGAAATGGAAATCACCACTTTTACACATCACGTTAAAATTGTGGGAGAGATTTTGAAAAATCATTTACACTTGACACTAAAATTACAGTAGTTATTAGACCCGCTGCTAAGTCTTACTGCATAAGGTATTGCTAAAGAAGCTCACAGACGACTATATATCTCACGTTTGGTTGTAATATTGTAATCGATATTACTACAGATTTCTTTGTAAACCTTTGTCATTTATAGTCTGCATTTGAAAGCATTTTTTCTGAAAGGAGTCTGTAAGCTTCCTCGGATGGTCAAAGAATCTATGACACAAAAGGAGTTATGACCCCAGACGAGACAGTGGGATCCACCCACGTGGTCAGACTGCTCCTGTCTTGTTTGCTGCTGAATCTCTAAAGAGCTGAGCACAGTTCCTGGCATATAGCGGGGACTGAGGAATATTCTATAGATGAATAAATGAATTGAGGGCAGACCTTTACCTCCCCCATTACAAGTCACCCAAGTAAAAAGGGAAGAGGTAGTTCTGTAACATACCCTCCCCACTTCATCCCTCCACTACCAGAAGATTGTAACTTCATGGTATACGATTATTGGGGAGAAACGGCTGAATACTCACCCCCAAGACCTGGGAGTTAAGGAACTTATTTCCAGGGAATAAGGAAGAAGATCTCCCTCCCTGCCCTACTTTCCACAGTCTGGTGAGGGGCATCTCTGCAACGCCACCCATAACTGTGCGGTGCCTCCTGACCCACCTGCTAGGGCCCCAGGCCTTCCTACCTTGATTTGCGGGTGGTCTGCATGTCTTTATAGGCAGAATCACTCTTGTTTTGTCTGCGCATTGAGAAGATACTGCAAAGCAAGATGAGTCACTTAATAAGGCGCTGAACAAATGATGCTCCCCAAGGCACTAGGTATCTGTGGGAGAATGGAGAGTTCTCCTTCTCGAGCAGGGATCCTAGGCTCTACAGGAGGGCACGGATCACCCGGAAAAACGGTTCAGAATGAGAACGCAGATTCCTGAGCCACACTCCCAGAGATCTGGATACATCAGGCCTGGAGTGGGACCCCAGAAGCTGCATTTAAAACCACACACACAGACTTCCGATGCAGGTGTGCAGGGAGCATACTTTGAAAACCTTAGCATTTCCTGGCACACCATGCAATAATGCCTGCTTGAAGTGCCTGTTAAAAAATGCGGTTTCCTCTAAGGATTCTGATTCAGTGGGTCTGGGATGAAGACCAGAAATTTGTGGTTTTCACAAGCGTCCCAGCTGATTCCGTTCTTCAGGGACATTTGTAAAATACTGCTAGAGGATCTTAAGAAAAGGTCATCTTCCTAGGTGATGTTATGGTCTGAATGTTTATGGCCCCCCAGATTCATCCCAAGAGGATGCTGTTAGGAGGTGGTGGCCTTTAGGAGGTGATTAGATCATGAGGGTGGAACCCTGATGACTGGAATTGAAGCCCTTATAAAACAGACCCTTGAGAACTAGCTTGTTCTTTCTACACGTGAGGACACAGTGAGAAGGCAGCCATCTATGAGGAAGAGGGTCCCTGCCGGACGCTGATCTGCTGACACCTCGATCTCGGACTTTCCATCCTCCAGAAACTGTGCGAAATAAATGTCTCTTGTTTACAAGCCACTCAGTCATGAGATTTTTATTACACCAGCCCAAATGCCCTATGACAGGTGACCAGAGCGCGGTCTGGTCCTTGAGGCTGAGGGCTGGGAGAGAAGGCTTTCAGGGGTTCCTAAAACCCCCAGAATTCTACATCAGTCTTGATGGGAGCAGACCTGCTGTCTAAAGTGAAATAGGAATCTACATTTTTAAAGTGCGGAGGGCAAAAGCAAATCTGCAGCTTCCCCTAACTGTCTCTGGGCAGCTCCACAGAGAAGCCTTCAATATTTGCTGCCTTATTAGCAAGGGATTAGGGAGATTTTTCTCCCGGAGGAATTGAAGAGGATGGGAAATTTCAACAGGTTCTTGCACTGTAACCATGGTTATTTTATCATTAAAGTGAATGCAGAGGCCACGTGATGAGTTCTGTGAGAACCAGGTTCTTGTGTGGTTTTGTCTTTGAGGACCTGAAGCAGGTCACTCCCGGCCATCCTTCTCCATCTGTGAGATGGGACCATGGTACTGGGTACTGGTTGATCAACCTGTCTCAGCGAGTGGCTGCAGAGGTTCCATAGGAGGCTGTATGTGAAACAAAAGTAACAACCACCACCACCACTGTCACCAATTTTTGTTTGCTTACAGTATGCCAGGCACACGCTAATAGGTTAAATGCATTATCTCACTAAATGCTTCAAATGACTGTGATGTAGACATTTAAAAACACTTTACTAGGAAATTATCATTTAATTCTCATTACAGCCCTTTGGGATAGGTTGTTAATGAGCCTCATTTTACAGAATTGGAATCAGGCTCAGAGAGGTGAAGCAACTTGCTCAACAGCACACAGCAACTGAATCACGGAAATGGAGATTGACCCTAGTCTACTTGGTACCACCGCCAGTGCTTTGATGAAACACAATCTCATTTTACAGATAAGAAAGCTGAGGTTTAGAGAAAGGCTGAGGGACTTGTTCAAAGGCACTAGGTCTTGAACCTACGTCGGTCTGACTCCAAAGCCAGTATTTCATGGCGTGAGTTCTTGCAAAGGAAGGAGCCTCTTGGAGCTGATGCTTCATCACTGTCATCTGATAAATCAGGCGCAGCGACCGGGCCCTTAAGGGCCAACATTGTCTCTGAGAGCCTTCAACGCCACCCTCCAGAGCCCCGATGTGAGTTGAGGCAGCAGCAGCCAATTCATCATTAACAAGCAGAGGCGGGTGTGATGCACGTGAACGCGCTCGGTGAACCGTACTTATGCTAATAACAATAACCAGTAAGTCATAGCCGGCATCCCAGGAGGCTGAAGGCGATGATGAACCTCTCCAGTGCCTCATTTTTTCTCAGGAAGTCATCTGCTTGCTCTGAGGGATCCACACTCGGAAAGGGAACTTCAGCTCTAGCCTGCGTGCTCTCTGAGGCTTTTAGAGGCCAGAGGTCCAGTGGACAGGGCTTTCCGCCAGAAGGAGGACACCTCAGGTTCAAGTCTGACTCTCTGGGCCAATTACATTGGTTGCCGGCTTGAAACTTCAAAGGGTTCTTTTTGTTCCTAGGATAGAAATCAGAATCCTAGAGGTGGCTTCCAAGGTCCCCAGACAGACTTATATCCCTGCCCATCCCATCTGGGAAGCATTTCAGTTCCTTGAAGGTGCTACACTCCCTTTGGACCATGTTTGCACATGTGCCGTCTGCAGTATTCACTCCCCGTGCTGGCTCTCCCGGCGACCCCCCAGCGACTCTGGCCGGTGAGCTCCTTCTCATGCTTCATCCAAAATCTCAGCTTAAAGTTTCTTCTTTGGAGGGAACTTCTCTCATCCCCATCCCGGACTAGATCAGATGCCCCTATTATGTCCTCTCACAGGTCTGAGCTTTTCTTTCATAACACTTCCTGCAATAATTAGTACGGTCCATCCATATTCACAAATACTCACTAAAAGAATGAATGAATAAACCTCTGGGTTCCTGGGAAGCAGTGCAGCGGAGTGGATAAGAGAACAGTTTTTGGAATACGAAAGATTTGGATTCGAGATGTGGCCTTACCATTCGTTAGCCTCTCTGAACCTCATTTCCTTATTTGTAAAATGAAGACAACAGTACCTACCTTGTAGGGTTGTTGGAAGAACTCAGGGAGGTGATACACATGAGCAAAGTACACGGTTCAGCGCTTGTCACAGAGGAAATGCTCAACCGTTGGGAACTGCTGTCCTTTATGTTATCACTATGATGCTGACATCCTTTATTTGCCCAGGTGTCAAAAGAACATACCTGGCCGCTTGTTTTTGCATCCCATTTGCCATTGTGACTGTTCTCTGAGCATCTTCCCGAACCATCTCCAGGAGCTTCTGCAGATCTGATGGGAACACAAGAGGTCACTGTCTGCAGGGTGCTCGTGAGACAGGACTGCGCAGGTCACGGCCCAGCCCCGAGGCCGATATCGCCTCTGCTCTGGCGTACTGGGGAGCCGGAGAAGGATCTGACCGGGGTCTAGAAGTCTGCAGGTTGTAAACGTGACTCGTCTGCTTCCAACCAGTGACTGGCCATCTCCTTTGGGACGACAGCTAAATTCCTCCCCGTGGCCTGTGAGGCCTTGAGGGTCTTGGCTTCTTTCTATTTCCTGTTTCATCTCATTCCTCCTGGCCGCAGCCCCCCTCCACCCTGCCCTTAAACACTCTTCTGTAGCCTGAGATAACTGTTTCCAATTCCAAGAAGAAATCAACTTGCCCGAGAAAACCCTCTCTGATCCCAAAGACCTGAAGTTCCAAACTGGTGATCCGCAGGCCGACTCTAGCTCGTAAATGTGTTTGATTTGATTTGATGTAGATGCTCAAACTTTTCATAACTGGAAGTTTTCACATTACAAACCTGGGCCTCCAGTTTCCCTGGAAAAGACTCTGAGGTGGGGCTCATCCCGTGCTGATGGGGCCCTTTAGAACTTCCAGTGCATTCTCCAGCTCCCCATGCCCCCCCCCCCCTCCTCACTGCATTAGTTGACTTGTATATTCATACTTCACATTGTTGCTTTTTACACAATGTAGAGATATTTCTTTGTGCCTGACTATTATGGGTTGACTTGTGTCCTCCCAAAAGATAATGTTCAAGCCCTAATCCTCAGTACCTCAGAATGTGAATTATTCATATTCTTATTTAGAAATAGGGTGGCTACAGGTATAACGAAGATGAGGTCATACTGGAGTAGGATGGGCCCTCAATCCAATATGACTGGTGTCCTTGTAGTAAGGCGGGAGAGACACAAAGGGAGAAGATGGCCATGTGATGACAGAGGCAGAGACTGGACTGCTGATATGTCTACAAGCCCAAACGCCAAGGCTTACCAGCAACTACCACAAGCTAGAAGAGGCAGGGAAGGGTTCTCCCATACAGATTTCAGAAGAAGCATAGCCCTGCTGACGCCTTCATCTGGAGTCTAACCTCTAGCACTGTGAGACAATAAATTCCTATTGCTTTAAGCCAGGAAATGTACTTTGTTAAGGCAGCCCTGGGAATCTAATACATTGACACTCTTAAAAGTTGGAAAATAATATATATTTGGAGTAAGCTAGGTGCTTCAAGAAAAGTGGGAGAGTGGGAGCCCTAAGTGTTTTGTACAAATACAGATGGGCAAGCAGTTGGCACCCTGCTTGTCACACAGGCGTCTCTGTCGATATTTGCTAAATAAATAAGCAAACGACTAAGGAGGAAAAAAAAGTAGGAAGGGGTTTGGGAGACTATGAGCTAGATTTGGAATATCAATGAAGGAAGACAGGGCCAACATGGACACTTTTCACTCTTTAGTAGGCGCCTGTAGTCAGCTCGAGGTCAAGTCTCAAAAGCCGTACCTGCAAGGGTGAAGGCGGTGCTTCCCAGGGCCGTTTGTGTCCAACCTTGTTTGTGAATGCAAGTCACTGGGTGCTAGGGAAAGGGTGCTCCCGTCAGTGACCTGGGAGCCATCTAGGCTGTGACAAACGTCAGCATTTAGCCACTTTCCACTCCCCCTTCCTCATTCTCAAGTACCGATAGTATATCTTCCCAGTAACTGGTGGGCATGATTCCATCTGACCTGGATCTGATCTTCATTTTTGTCTTGTCACGCCCACCTTCCCTACTGCCACGCATCCCAGAATCCTTGGGGTGTGTCCAGAAGCCTATTGATGAGGGAGCTCTGGCTGCTTCCTCCACTTTCTTCCCTTCTCTTGGGGACCCAGCAGCACCATCTGACCACTCCCCCGCTCCTGCCCCTACCTGGAAGCAAACCAGCCTAGTGTGTGGATACCAGCAAATGAGCCCAGTGACCTGGCACACTGGGCAGCTCTCCTAGAGAGTCCCCTATAAGGCTCCATATGCCATTTAATGCACCAAAGGTTTCTTTCTGCTTGCCAATAATGCCTCTGGGCAGGAACGGTGCCCACCAACATCAAGCTCCACCCGTCACATAACTGAGGTTGGATATGTATGAACTAGAACAAAGCCTTGGGACTGTGAGGCCCATGTCTACCCACCAAGGCCCATGTCTACTCTCCAAGGAAGGAGAGATTTCTTTGGAAAAGGTGCAGGTGCCACAGAATAGAGTCTCCCTGAGGAAGACAGTCTTGTGATGGATGTCCACACTCAGAGGAACCTGCTTAGTTCTCAGTCCCCAGGGCTATGGGGATGCCATTGCCCAGTGCTCAGAGATAACAGCATCCTCTGTTTCAGTGCCGAATCACACCCCTAAAGGAAAATTCTAACTCCCTTCCTCCATTGTCCATCCCCGGCCTGTCTAAGAATCCCCCTCGAGAGCAACTATACCCATTTCTTCCTCTCTGTTGGGGGAAAAGAGAGGAAGTCCTTTTGTTGTATGGGGTTGTTTCGGTGGCAGAGTGGGGGGGGGAACAGTAGAAGGCACAGGACCCCTCTTTTTGAGTTACTATTTAAGTGAGTTTCTCCTCTAACGGTTCCAAGACTGGAAGATTCAAGACTGGCAGAAGGAATGGTCTGGGCTTTGGTTCCTCCGGAATCCCTTGGCCATTGATCTGGGAAGGGACCATTCCACAGAGAGGCCACGGCCTGCTGTCCCCAGCGATCTGTGTCCACAAAGACTTCATTATGCAGCCAGCCCTGGAAATTAAACCTTGGTCAGATGGCGTGTCTCTTAGAATAGGATTCATGAATTCAGAATCAGTTGGAGGAGGTTTTAGAACGCAATGAAAGTCTGGGAAATTAATCTACTTTTGTGAAGGCTCTGACAAATGCAATGGAGGTTAAGGTATAAATAGAGAAAAAGGGTGAAGAGACTGAGGGAGAAGGACTTTCTCTCCTGGGTGTTGGTCTCTGGTGGGAATGCATCTCCCAGCCATTGCTGTGCACCTACCGTGTGCCAGGTAGAAGGTGAGTAAGACGCTGTTCCACGCCTGAAGGGAGCTCACACTCCTTTCTCCTTTCTTCAGTAACAGAAATATATGTATGCATATGTACTTTTGTGTGTGTGTGTGTGTGTGTGTGTATACTTTTGTGTGTGTGTGTGTGTGTGTGAGGGAAGCATTTATTAGCCCAATTTCCCAACATGCTTTGTAGCTAGGTGTGCCCCTGTGACTAAATTCTGGGCCATGAGATTTTAGGAGAAATACTGGATGAAGCTTCTGAGAAGACTGCTTAAAACTCAGCTGGAAGTAAGCACTTCTCTACTTCACCTACTTCCTTCTGCTTCCCTCGTAGGATGTGACTCTGATGACTGGCATTCCAGCAGCCATTTTGGGCCATGAAGTGATCCGTGGTGGAGAAGAAAGACAGAAGGAAGTAGGATCCCTGATGATCTTCTGGAACCACCCTATCTCTAATCTGTAAGAAAAATTAGTTTTTATCTTTTTTAAGCTACTTTTTTCAGGTCTCCGTACCTAGCCAAAAGAAGTTCCTACCTGATACAGTGAGATGTAGTTGTAACTTAAAATTAAGTACTTAATACAAGCAAATACAAAATACTAAGAGAATTGAGAGAAGGAGAGTCAGAGAAAACTTTACAGAGGAGGGAATATTTGAGCTGGGTCTTAAAGGTTGAATAGGAGTCCATTCGACTGAAGGGTTGGAGGTGAAAGGGCACCACAGACAGAGGAGGGCATGAAAGAAGATGCATTGTTTAGGAGGAGAGAGTTTTTTTAGTGAGGCTGGAGCACCTGGTATAAGGTGTGACATGGCAAGAGCAGAGCCCATTATAGGCAGCCTGGGACAAGATCAGATGCAGTGTCTTAGAGGCAATGGGCGGGGGGGTGTCACTGAAAGATATTAAGCTGGGAAGCACTACGTTAAGTTTTTAATTTAGAAAGTTCCTTCTGGTTCAACACGGACAAGAATCTGCAGGCAAGGGGGGGTAAGACAGAAGCAGGGAGGTTAATTACGAGGCTGCTACTGTCATCTAGATGAGAGGTGATGAAAACTGGACCAGGGCTCCCCAGCCTAGGTGCCTACCGGGAGCAGATACCACAGGTGAGTGACAAGAGCTAGTGTGAGAAAAATCAGGCTGCTCTCTTGGTCCTTCATTTCCCACTTTTTCTAGAGACTTGGGTAAAGCAAAGAAATTAAGTGTGACATGAGAGCCAGACTGCCTGGTTTCAAACTCTGGCTTCATCACTTATTGGATGTGTGCCTTTGGGCACATAATTTAACCTCTCTGTGCCCCAATTTCTTCATCTGCAAAATAGGCAAAAAAAGCTGTTGTGAGGATTAAATGAATATGTATATCCGTGTATATTCACACACACACACGCACTCACATATACAGTGTCTGACACATAAAAGTCCTCTTAGGTTTAGTTATTGTATCATCACCATTATCATTCTAAGACAAACAGGAGGGCAAAGGAGATGATAAATGGGCAAGCACTTGGTCAACTGGGAGCAATGTAATGATTGGGAGTAACAGGGAGTGGTGGGGACTGTGGAAAACTAGAGAGCACATGCCCCACCTAAGAAGGGCAGCTCCAGTTGACTGCTGTCATGCAGGGTTGCAGGCTCACTGTTGCCACAAAGAATAACTTTTTTTAAATCAGAATTTTGATGTCCAATCTCTCAATCTTAAAAAGTCACTCCTACTTTTTTTTTTTTAAACAAAGCCTTGTGTGGTAAACAAAACACAGTGTGCAGGAACCAGCCCATGTGCCCCAATTTTCTACCTCTAAACTAAGACAAAAGCAATAGGAATGAAGAGGGTAGGGTTCAAAAGAGCTTTGGGAGATGGCACTGGTTGGGGCAGGCAACTGGTTAGACTGAGAGTAGGAGTAGGGTGGCCGTTAGGGAAGGGTCTGTGGTGTCTCAGGTGCCTGGAGAGAGGGCATTATTCTCCCCTCCCCTCACTGCCAAGTCTCTTCCCCCTCTGGTCCCTCCTTCCTTCAGCTCTCAGGTTGCCACTGGGAGAACCATACGTGAACTCTGGGACTGAGGCACTTCTTGAAGCTGGGGACTCTTCTCTGCTTGTCTTACTTGAGAGCAAGGTTTTCAGAGTTAAGAGACACAGCGTGGACACAACATTAATAACCACACACAGACCTTTGAAAAGAAAACCAGGTCTTGTTACTCCTACACTTGCAACCTTCCAGAGCCTTCCTCTTGCACTTGGAATAATTATGAAGTCCTTACCTTGCTCTACAAAGGCTGCGCATGCTCTCACCCCTGCATCCCTTCCCAGCTTCATGTCTTCAGAAACTCAAATGTCAGGGCTGAGAGAGGCTTCCCTTGACCACCCTGTCTAACCTAGCTCCATTCCCACCAATAGTCTCTCTCTAGCCTGAATCTTGTTTTATTATCTTCCAATCATGTATTATCTGCAATTGGCTTGCTATTTATGGCTTTCTTGTTTATGTCTGCTTTTTCCTTGTAAAATATAAGCTTGGGGAGGGCAGGTACTGTCATCCCCGGTTCCAGGAACACAGTAGCTGCTCAATAAATACATTTGGAATGAAAGAAGGTTCAAGAAATCCAGAAGAGTCATACATCTGATGATGGTTTATCTCAGTTCCTCTCCATCTGCGATAACACTTCCGTTCAGCAAACAGCTTTTCAGGGCTTAGAACTTTTCTTGGTCTCCTGTTAACAAGGGGGATGGTGGAAAATTTTCTCATTGGCCATCATTACTGTGAGTCCTGACCACTTACTGAACTTTTGCACTTTTGCCCATTTCTGGCTTTGATAATCGGGGCCCTAATCAGGCTTTCTGGTTTACCTTGACCTTTTTTTTCAACCTCCTTGTATCTGTACTAAACCTGGTCCAGCTTTGGTTGCTATGGGCATTCTAGATTGTGTGAAAGAACACTGACTGAGCAGGCAGGCCTCAGCTTAGGTGGCACTGAGGGGACAAAGCATGTGGGGATATGGCAGAGAAGGTGTTTCACGTGCCAGAGTCAGTAGTTCTGCAGTGAGCCTTCCTCTTTCATGCCCCTTTCTCTTTCTTCCTTCTGCCTTCTCCATCTTTCTGCATAAATCCTTTCTTTTCCTGTCTCCTTTTACTATACAAGCTCAAACCAGAAAGTCCTGAAAATGAATTTTTTTACACGACTTATGGAACCCAGTCACAATTCTACCTGGTGGAGGTCCACAGGGTCCCCCTAAAAGAGTGTGCAAAAACATGTATGTGTGTGTGCTTGAATTTTTTTCCTAAAGAGAGGCCCATAGTTTCCAACAGATTTTCTAAAGAACCTGTGTCCCCCAAACTGTGAACCATTGAAAAGGCTTGTTTCAGAGTGGGGGGCTCACAGAGTGCTACAACTTCCCTATATAAAATGTCCAGAAAAGTCAAACTTCCAGAGACAGAAAGTAGACTTGTGGCGGGAAAGGGGAGGGACTGCCAGTGGACGTGAGGTTTTCTTTGGGGTTGATTGAAATGTTCTAAAATTAGATGGTGCTGTTGGTTATACAACTCTATAAATTTACAAAAAATCGTTGACGCGTACACTTAAAACAAGTGAATTTTATGGTATGCAAATTATACCTCAATAAAGCTGTTAAAAAAAAAGTAGGCACCGAATTTCAAAAACATAGTATGAAAAAATGTAAAATATCTTATCAATACTTTTTTATATGATCACATGTCGAAATGACCATATCTTATAAATTGGGCTAAGTAAAATATACTATTAAAATTTTTAAAAAGAGCAGTTGATGACCATGGGCTGTCTCCCAAGAAGAAATGGTTCAGAGTAACCCAAGTTAGAGTATATTTCTGATCTCCACTGAGGGAAAGCAAAGGGGTCCATGGAGACTGAACAGGGCTAGGGGACCCGTGTATCTCCTTTACCTGAGTGGGGCGAAGGTAGAGCACACGGGGCTCTTGATATCTGGCTTCAGGTCAGAGTCAGGGCAGACTCGTCAGATCTAAGGAAGGACTTACTGACATGGAGAGGTTCTTCTTCAGGCTTGGCCGAAGACGATTCGCTGTCCTCAACGTCCTTGCTGCCTGTCGCCTGGGTGATCACACTCTGGGGCTCATCTGAGCCCGGGTTCACGGAGACCATGCTGCTCTGGGGGGATGACCCTCCACTTGTCCGAGACAGACTGAGGGTGGAGCCTCGCCGGCTTGGTTTGCGGCTGGTGACGCGTGCTACAGGAACCTTGAATCTCTTGGTCTGAAGGAAAGAGAAAATAAAGAGGGATTTTAGAAAGGAAGGAAGGAAGGGAAGAATGGAGGAAAAGAGGAACGGAGGGAGGAAAGTAGGAAAGAAAAAAAGCGAAAACCTGGCTCTGAATATGAATTCCTTTTGGCTCTTTCCAAACACCATGAGACATATCCTGGGTCTGGAAAGACCTTCTGTCACAAATCAAGATAATTTATACACATGTGTTTATTGGAAGCGAGTTTGATGGGACTTATTCTACTCAGTGAGTGCAATGGTTGCCCAAGTAGTCACCACAGGAAGCCAAACATGTATTCCAATGATGTTGCCATGGACGACAACGGTTTTTTACTTTTCTTTTGTAATAATCATCAGAGTTGATTTTTAAACTGGGGGAGGATGGGTCTAATTTCTTTAGCTGCATCTTGGTTTCGACCCCCAATTCTATGTGTCAACCTTTTGTTCACCAAATGACACCTGGGGCTCAAAGAATAAAGATTTATGTTCACTGGGGTTTTCTGAAGATGGAGAAAACTCTAGGCTTGACACTCAGGAGGTGCAGGTGAGGGATGCAGATTTGTCTGATGAGGGGGCACTCTTGGGTGGAGGGGGCACTCTTGGGTGGAGGGGGGAGGAGCCATGATGGAGGTGGGTGGGAAGACCTAGATGACAAGTCCTAGGAGGTAAAAGGGGGTAGGTAGGGAAAGTCCTGCGAGAAGAATGGGAATTTTTGGAAGGAGTCAGAGTGGACAGGTTACAGGAATGTGTGCGTGTCTGTGTGTGTGTGCGTGCGTGCGCGCACACACACCGTCTTGCATGATTGGTGTCACTTCAGAATGTACTGTGTGGGCTTATGTCTTCATTTAATTCATGCTTCATGTCTTAGGCTTCCTAACTTGCCCTAAGTTGCTCAGCTGCTCCAGGATAAGAGCTCAGTGAGGGTCTGGGCTACAGTTTACACTCCATTAAAAGAGAAACAATTTCATTTGAGAACATTTAAAATGAAAGCCCTTGGAGGGCAGTCCAAGGTCTTCTTTGGATGAAACTTATAGTGTGTGATACCCTAGGGAAGAAGATAAGGAGAAGAGGCAGCACTGAAGACCACACAACATTTAATAAATATCTAACAGGGTGGAGAGAAATGTTTTCAGCAGGACTCACTGAGAGTCCACTGTGTGTGATCAGAAGTAATGTTTTGATTGGCCACCTCATGGGGCCCTAAGTGTAGGTGGAACCTCCCTGCTCCGGAAGAGCGGAGGGATTTCTTGCTTGCACAGGGCAAGGGGAGGGTGGGGGAAGAGAGACGAAAGAAGGTTGTGGGGCTTAAATGTGGTATCTTCCTGGGAAGGCCACCTCCCCCATGTATTCCGTGAAATTCTACACAAGTGACGGAACGCTTCAGAATGTGATAGCCTGGGGAACTGGAGTTCAAACTGGGTTTAACCGGATCTCCAAGGGAGCATGGGAGTTACAAAATGACTGTGATAAAGAAAAAGCAAATGCCAAAAGTTGGCATGTTCTTCCCTTTGATAAATTAGGGGCTTGATGCGACGTCCCCTTTGTCCTGGCATCGCAACTGGACAAGAGCTTGCCAGACTGACAGCCCCTCTGCTCTCTGCCCCCAGAGGGAGAGAGAATGTCAGCGCTCAGGGATAATACCTGTAGAAGGCAACTCTTCCTGTCTCACCTGGCACGACATGAATTCTTGACTCTGGAAACCACACTCTTTACATCAATGTCATTTTTGAAGGCTGGACAGATTGTGTCACCAGGGCAGCCTGGAGTCTTGCAATGAGCACCAGACTCAGAGCCAGGGGACCTCAAGGGGGCCCTGAACGGGTCACTCTCCCCTGCTTCCGTCCCCTTGTCTATACAACAGAGAGGACGGGCTGGGATGATCTCAGAAGAGCTTTCCATACCCAGGGTTCTGTGTGCATCTTCCTTGCATCAGGATTTCATCCTGTGCTCCTAAAGTTGCCATTAATTAAAATTCAATTAAAAGCCACAGACAGGAAATCCAGAGTGAAGGGCTGACACTTCTCATTAATTGAGAGTGGCAGAAAAATAAAATGTGGGGGGAAGATGTGACAGGCAGTTTCAGCATCCTGCTTGCCCTTTATTCAACTGACTCTCCCTGAATTGACTTAAATCCCCAAATGTTTCTTCTCTCTGTTTTGTATTTCACTCAGGAGTGGTATTAACCGGCTGCCGTGTCGCACCTCAGGAGGGACTGCTTTTTGGCAACAAAGGAAAAGATTTCCCTGAATGATTCCTTGTACTTTCTTAGAAGGAGGGATTTCAAACTGGTGGCCCATGGGGAGACATGTTCAGCTGCCCAGAATTCTACAGATTGGGGATATCTTTATATAAGAACTGAGGTTACTGGTCTCTCTTGAAAATGATAAGCCCTGGGTCCCATCTTCACATGGCGAGATGAGTAGAACTAAGCAGAGGTTCTTCCCTTTAGCTGTGCAGAATTCCTGTTTGCCACAGACCTCACCACTCCCTACTGTGTTACCCAGCCTGATTTTTTTTCATTTATGCCATTTGTCCGGCTCTTAATTATCACTGCCTTGGCACTGACAAGCTCCACACATACAGAAGACTATCAGTTGCTGTGGAAGTTGACTGGAGCCTCTCTTTCAAAGTCCTTAATTTACAGGTGAAGAAACTGAGGTCAGGAGAGAGGAAAGGACTTCTCCAATGCCATGCAGTGAACAGAGTCACAGTGGCTAAACTAGGTCTCCTGATTCCTAATTCAGTGCTCCCTCATCCTCAGAATGGACCACACTGCAGCCCAGAGTTTGATCTACAAACTCGCCCAGGGGGGATTTCAATTCAGTGAGAGTTCAAGTGCAGTGACTCACTCGTCCTTCCTCCAACTGTAGTTGTGACTATTCCTGAAGGACATTTTTTTAAAGGTTTGTGGCTCCTGCTTTTTCTGTGCATCTCTGGAGACAGATACACACGATATCTCCATAGCAACTTTCTGTGATAAAAACAAAGGCTCTCCTTCTCAGGGCACTTAGAAGTGCCCTGATGAAACAGCAAGAAAATGGTGAAACTTCATGAGGGGCAATGATAATCCTACCAGAGAGAACATGCTTTTGAAGAGCTCAGTGTTTTAATAAACAGGGTTTAGTAAACAGATCCAGGATTAACTCTGGGCTCTGCCACTGCCCAGCTGTGTGGCCTCATGCAAATCACTTAAGCTCTTCGAGCCCTAACTTTCTGCTCTCCTACCTGGAAATAAGAATACTGCCCCCATGGGGTTATCAGGAGGACAGGACTGGCTAATACACCTAAAGAGCTTCCTTAGCACAGAACCTGGCCCACTGTAATTCTGTTCAAGATTGGCTTCTAAAATTACATAGCCACAATAATGCTCAGCATTTTCACATTTTCAAAGTGAGATTGCATACTGTTTCCTGGGGTTCTTTACTAACGTAAAATAGATAGCTAGTGGGAAGCAGCCTCATAGCACAGGGAGATCAGCTAGGTGCTTTGTGACCACCTAGAGGGGTGGGATAGGGAGGGTGGGAGGGAGGGAGACGCAAGAGGGAAGAGATATGGGAACATATGTATAACTGATTCACTTTGTTATAAAGCAGAAACAAACAAAAAAAAAGAAGTGAGCAGAAACTAGCATTATATCCATTTTGTGGGTTGGAGCACAGGTTCAGCAAAAATCTCATTGTGTGTCCTCTCAACTGCCTTTAGCTCTCTACTCTTGCCATTATTATTATTATGGTGCTTGTTTGTTAAGTGGATGAGTTTGGGGGTTTTGGGGGTTAGGAATGGTTTTGAGTGAAAAGAATAGACCTCTTGATTTTCTCTTAATAATAAACACACGTTCTAGTTTGTAGAAAACCCTGTCTGTTCAATCACTCACTTATTTTCTGACTGAGTTTGAAAGAAAAGGGAGAGCGAGAGAGAAAGAGAAGTGACTGTTACGGATTAAATGTAGACAGTGAGTGAATCCATTTCCTTCCAGTGACATCTTATTAGGCGGCTGCTCGGCCACCCCTTCCCTGCTGCGTGGGGTGGTGTCCAGCCAAATGACATTTCTTCTACAATCCCCAGATAAGCATTTTAATTAAAATTTATAAAAACCATCCAACAGCACGAGGTTCTGACTTCCCTTCACTCAGAGAACCAAGTAGAAAAAAATATCCCATCAGAGAGAAGACTGGCGAAAATGCCTCCCACCCAAGTTGGGGCTGGTAGCCAGGCGGCAGGGTCACGTGCTGACAGTTACCTTTGGGGCTGTGATGAAGCGCTCCCACCTCTGTCCCATGGACTTGTCCTTATTGATTTTTTTTATTGTGCTCTTGCTTCCACCTGGGTCCCTGAGTGAGAAACAGCTTCATGAGTTTTCCGTTTCTAGAGCCTCAGTTTATTACAAGTACTTTTAAGAAACGCAATAAGGAGATGATGGATGGTGGCTGTCCTCTGCTGTGATTTTTTCCCCCTCCTATACTCGGGAAGCAGTGGAAGGGACAGTTCTTCACAGCCGGGTCTCGCGAGTGGGAATCGAGGTTAGGAGAGACCGCCGCTTACTGGGTAGGGACTGAGGGAGGTGGGGTGTATTTGTACACATTCCGCATCTGTTTGCATTTTGGACTTGGGTCCTCTCATAGACTCCAGGGCAGGTCTGCGGTTCCTCTTGGGGGTGAATTAAAAAGCATGTTCATTTCCAAATCTCTGCCTGCTCTGGTGCCTAAGGGTCCCACCATCAGGGCCACTTCTGAGTAAACGCACAGAGAGAATTACTAACTTTGCTTGGGCGGGGGGAGCTTACAGGGTGCGTTGCACAATGAAAATCACTGGTTTGGAGTTTACTGAGTGAAAATTCTACACAATTCTACATGCAAGACGCTTCTGTGCATTCTCGCTGAATCATCTCAACAAAACCTTGTGACGCAGTCATTTATCATCCCATTGTACAGATGAGAAAACAAACTCGGGGTGTTAAGTCACTCATCCAGGTGCATATGCACAATGAATCTAATGACCCTCACTTGCATGGGTCCCGCCAGGGCCCTGTACCTAATTTTGTATTTTAACTTTGTGTTCTTTTTCTTAGAGCGCCCCTCTCCCCAATTAAATAAACTTCAGGTTGCGTGAAACCTGCATCTTCCCTCATGGGTTGGAACTTTCTGGGTATGAGACTGAAGCCCCAGCAAGTTTGGATGATGACATACCTATAACCCTTGATCTGAAACCTGTGGGACCGGATGTGTTGCCAAATTCAGAATCTTGGCATTTTGGAATGGAAATATGCTGCACGTATACCATATGTTAACATAATCCTTCCAGTGGGGTCTCAGCAGCATCTTATAATCAAACACATTAATATTTCTGCAGTGATATATATGAATATTTACACTAGGTGGGATAAAGACCATAAATAGCTTCAAGTCAAGTTTTGCCACCAAATCAGTTTGGTTCGTGTCAGATTTTGCTGTCAAATTGAGTTATGGCAAAACTGAGTTTTCAGAGCCTTTTGGATTTTGGACCTGTGGCTATGGGGTGGTGGATCCCTGTTGATAAGCAAGCTCTCTCAGCGACCTCTACCTATCTATGTATTGACTGATTGATCTGTTGATCTCTCCATCCATCCACCCATCCATCCATCCCTTTCTTTCTTTATCCCCTTTTTCTCTGCAGAAAGGGTTTTAGATGGCTGGGAGCCTTTAGATCATTTGGCTGGCTGTCACCCAGCGTAGAGGAGGGACTTGAGGGAATGAGATGGCCAGACCAGTTTGATGTGGGGAGGCACCAACAGGAGTCTAGACTTAGCAGGGGCTGCCAAGTGCTGGTGGTGGGGGGAGATGCTCAGATAGGAGGCAAAGGTGATCAAGATAAATAAAGCTCGATTCTTATGGCATGGGGGTCTGAGCCGCAGAATCAAAGGTTTTTACCAGCCCAGACGGGGAGGGGGATGTGTGTGCTCTTTATTGGCAGAGCCCTTGCTGGGCACCTACCAGCTCACAGCCGCAAACTGAGAAATGCACACAGACGACAAGGTGAAAGTCAGGCTGGGGAGGGTGGGGTGAGAATGTGCTTCCAAGCTTTTTGTAAGACTTTATGTTTGATTACACAATAAAAAGCCCTCTGAATAATTAACAGTGAAGCTCATGTAACGTTGGTTCTGCCTGCCTCTCCCCAGAGTAATCAAATTAGGGAATATTTAAAATCCAGCTGGAGGAAGGAGCAGCAATACTTCAGTCCTATAAACAATATTTAAACTAGCGGCACTTTTGAAGTCTAATTTAAGGCTCACCAACTGGAAGCTTTAGTGTTTCCACTTTGGAGCGTTTCTTTCAAGACCACAGGGCTTTTCTCACTTTTCCCCTTTGCTAACGCAGCTCCTGCTGTGCCTCCAGCCTTCTTCTTGATGTTCAAAAGCAAACCCTCTTCCCCTTTTAAAATTAAATCTGGTACGGCCAAGCTTTCAAAATCTTAAATATTCAGACCCGATCGGGAAGATGGAGGTTTCTCGTTCACGCAGACTTCCAAGACGACCCCAAATCTATTGTAGCTTCAGGCAGCAGGTTAAATGAGCTAAAAATGCAGCAAGCTTCCCAGGGATCTTAAAAAGCCCCGAGCATCGTTCTTGCAAAGCCACTGATAAAGAAAGGGCCTGGTTGGACAGAATCCGTCTCTCTGATGTTTCACTTTCAGTAGCAAATAAACCAAAAAGGAGGATCGATAGGGGGAGAAAAGGAAATAACCCAAGCGCTGTCATCCACAGTGGGCTGACCGCACACTACTACACAGGCAAGCTGAAGCTCCTGCCCACGGCCTGGAGGGACAGTCAGGGCCATTCACCCACCAGAGTCCCAGGTCTTCTCGGCTTCTTAAAGTCGGGGGTTGCTCTGTGACTTGCTTTGTTCAAAAATACTTGAGCGACTATTTACAATAGCCCGGAGATGGAAGCAACCTAAGCGCCCACCATCGGATGAATGGATAAAGAAGATGTGGCACATATATACAATGGAATATTACTCAGCCTTAAAAAGAAACGAAATTGAGCTATTTGTAATGAGATGGATAGACCTAGAGTCTGTCATACAGAGTGAAGTAAGTCAGAAAGAAAAAGACAAATACTGTATGCTAACATATATATATGGAATTTAAGGGGAAAAAAATGTCATGTAGAACCTAGGGGTAAGACAGGAATAAAGACGCAGACCTACTGGAGAACGGACTTGAGGATATGGGGAGGGGGAAGGGTGAGCTTTGACAGGGCGAGAGAGAGTCATGGACATATACACACTAACAAACGTAGTAGGGTAGATAGCTGGGGGGGGAAGCAGCCGCAAGGCACAGGGATATTAGCTCGGTGCTTTGTGACAGCCTGGAGGGGTGGGATAGGGAGAGTGGGAGGGAGGGAGACGCAAGAGGGAAGACATATGGGAACATATGTATATGTATAACTGATTCACTTTGTTATAAAGCAGAAACTAACACACCATTGTAAAGCAATTATACCCCAATAAAGATGTTTAAAAAAAAAAAAAATACTTGAGCGAAAGTGACACGTGGCCTGTAGGGCGACGCTTTAAGGGCCAGTGCTCAGGTCACATTCCCTTTCCATTGGGTCCTTGGGCCACTATGGTGAGCAGAGTCCCGTGTGGTGGACACGTAAAGGGTGAGCGAGAAATGAACTTGCGCTGCGCTAAGCTGCTGAGATTTGGGGGTTGCTCATCACGGCAGCTTAATTGACCTTACCTAACCGATGCCTCTGATTTACTGTCTGTGTGACCTCAGGCCAGTCTCTCCTGAGCATCAGAACCAGGAAAAGGGGTGTAGCTGGGTGGTTAACAATGGGTTTAAGAGTCGGGCGGACCAGCTGTTTGAGCCCTCCGCCTGCCCTGCTGCTTCCTAGGTGTGAGATTGTGTGTAGTATCTGCCCTCTCTGAGCCTCAGTGTCCTCATCTGTCAAATGGGGGAACATCAGCAAAGTCAGAGGATGATTAGAGTGAAGATGCGATGAAATGGGGCTCGTTAGGAGCTTTCCAGGGTGCCTTGTATACACGACTGAATACAGCTGAACTATGAACAACACATGCTTTTTTCAACAGAAACCTTAATGTGGCTTGGAGGAGGGGCTGATGGTGGGGAAGGAGACACTAGGGCACATCCGTGGGGGAGAAGTGGCTGTGATTTTGAGACCACATTTTCTCTCTGCTGAAGCTTTCTGGGGGATCCTATTTGCCAGAAATCAAGGGAAGAAGTCGTTGAGCACCGCTGCATCTCTTTTAACTGTACCGCCAAGCACATTTTGTTCCTAGCAGCCACTTGAAGACATCTATCCACAGCGGCAATCAGAGTGATTTTCTCAAATACTTCACTCTTTCTGAATCCGCATTTGCTTCTCAGGGTGGAAAGTCTGCTGGCTGGTTGAGGATGTGTTCACGTGTCCACAACAAGATGGGAGAACGGACGTAACTGCTGATTTTGCAGCAGGGAGGGAACAGAGTTCAAAGCTCCCAGGATCTCCCAGGCCAGGGTGCCCGTCCCAACTCCTGAGTGACAGGTGCTCTGATCATCTTGCCACGTTTTCCCACTCCTGTAGAGATGTCCACTTGAGAACAGGCGTGGAGGAATGATGCAATTAGGTCAGTGCAGGTAAAATCAGAGACTTCACTCAAACGTCACCTTCTCTGTGAGTCTTTCCCTGACGACCCAACTTAAAAGTCACCCCCCCACACCCTGTCACTATCACATCACCCTGTCAATTTCTTCATGACGCTTAATGCTATCTCAAGGAATCTTGATTATTACATGTTTATTATCTGTTGCTCGCCTCCACATCCCTTGGAATAGAAGATCCAGAGAGCAGGAATGTTGTCTTATTTTCATGGGTGAATCCCCAGTAGTGCCTGAAAAAAGTGGGTTGAAGGAAAATGAGACTTTCTGGGGTCGGGGTGGGGGGAAGCATTGCTGCTAATGTGTTGTTCAGAATGATGCCGCCTTTTTTTCACAAGAGTGACAATCCGGCAAACACTTAAAAGATTTGGGGGGAATTGGTTAAGTATGTTGATAAACTCCACAGTCGTTAAAAGAGGTTTTGACATGGAGAGATGTTTAACGTATTTATTAAGTTAAATAACAAAAATTTAGTTGCAAAACAATAAATGTAGAACGGCTTTTTTTAAAGGAAATTATATATTTAGATATCATACGATCTTGGTAAGTTGGGGTCCCTTTTGTATCCTGGCAAATAAATGAGTTATTCTTTTTTTTTTTTTCTTGACACCAGACTGTTCCCTAAATTAATTGAAGATTTGGGGGCCTTGGCTAGAAACAGAGGAAACAATCATTTAGTGGTTAAGTGCAC